CCGTCTCAAAAAAAAAAAAAAAAAAAAGAAGAAGGTGGTGGTCCCACTGCTATAGTTCTTTACCTACACTTACTTTGGTATTGGTGATGATAGGGGCACAATTTTGCCAGCCAGAGGGGAATAGGAGCTTACTAGAGTGGGCTGCTTTTGGTAAACTGTTTTGGGAGCTGTGTATAAAGGACAAGGGAGCATGTATTCATTGGCTTCACTGATGTCTTTTTCAAATTCCGCTTTTAGCCTGGGAATTCTGGTGGTCCTCTGGTGAACTTGGTAAGTGATCACTTTCCTTGTTGCTTCATGTTTGCTCTTAACTTTCAAAGACTTTATTAATTCCAGGTCAGGGGTGGTGGCTCAAGCCTCTAATCCCAGCACATCTGGGATGATTGCCTGGGGCCAGGAGTTTGAGACTAGCCTGGGCAACACAGCAAGACACCGTATCTACAAAAACAAAAACAAGAAAGGACTTTACATTTTCCGTGATGCAGACTCGGGTGCCACTCTTGTGTAGAGAGCTGTGGAATGGTGCTTTTCTGTTCTTGGACCTTAAATCAATAGTTAGAAAAAATTCAAGCTTGTTATCCTGGTGTGTGATCTCATCCCACTGAGAACACTGGGGTTCTAGCTCTGGCTTCCTTTGAAATTTCTCTCTTCCCCGTGCTTTCTGTTTTCATTGGCTAGTTACCAAAAGCCCTGGATTTTATTTATTTATTTATTTATTTATTTATTTATTTATTTATTTATTTAATAGAGATAATGTCTCACTATGTTGGCCACGCTGGTCTCGAACCCCTGAGTTCAAGTGATCCTCCTGCCTCGGCCTCCCAAGATGTTAGGATTATAGGCATGAGCCACCACACTGTGCCAAAAGCCCTGGATATTAAACCCAGGTTTATGCCGAATGACCAGCTTTGCTATGAAATGTAGATCCTTGAAGACCCCCTGATGCTGCATATGAAGAACTATCTCTCATTTAAAAATGCTAATTACATAATGTCATCTGTCCAGGTTTTTAGTCTTGACCTCTTGACCTGCTTATAGATGAGAGAAAAGCCACAACCAGCACTCCTGACTTTAAGTGAGCTGCCTGCCTTGGCCTCCCAAATACATTGCTGTGTCATATATTCTTAAATTGTATTCCATGTCTCTAGTGGAAATGCCAGGTTTTCTAGTTGCTCAAATACATGTGAAAACCTGAAAGAGTGCAGTACTGTTTGACATATAGCATGCGATCATCCTTTCTGAGTCCCTTTGCACTGATTGCTTTTGGTTCCTGTTTAAATATCACATTTGCTTTTAGAATGAATTTTATGCAAAATGATTGTTTTTTTTTTTTTTTTTCACTCATAGCATTGCATGTCATTTTTGTTTGTTTTGTTCCTGCCTTCTCCATTAGACAATGAGTTTACTAGAGCAGGGATGAAATGCAGAATTTCAGGCCATACCCTAGACCTACTGAATTACAATCTGTAGTTTAACACAATCAGAAATCTCTTTTCTGGCTG